CCACCTCGCCCCCGCAGCCTCCTGGAGCCGGAGCTGCGGCTGACACTCGTCTTGCGCACACGTTGGCGTGCTCAGCCTAATTTTCAGCGGCAACGAGCGGCCAGGGCATCCGGGAGCGCCTCTCTTTCGTGTGTGCGGAGGGATGGCTGTGCGAAACGCAGGCCTAGTGCGACGACCCCGCACGGGGTTCTGCGCCCTTCCGTGGGGACCCGGGCCTCCCCTTCACGAGGTTCTTAGCCAGAGCACATTCTTCTGGCATGTGTTGGTCACTGGAACTAGGCACTAGCTAGCTACGTCTTCCTTTTGGGCCTCCGTCTTTTCCTTTGGAAAATGAGAGGTTGGGTTAGGTGACTTATTAGGCCCACATCGAAGGTGGTGTGATTTAGGAGGGTCAGCACCTGCTTCCCCTTTCATAGCTGTTTTCTCTCCTTTATTTGCACACACCCAAACACAGTCCACATTGAGTTTTCCGTGCTTGTGGCTTTCTCCCAGAGTGGCTTGATTATCAGGGGAGCTCCTTTGCATTTGTTGTGGCTGGAAACAGGCTCTGTGATGGGCTTTCCTACATCTCACCCTGCAGGTTTTTGGGGGGAGATCCGAGACTGTGGTATAAAATGAACTCCATCAGTTCAAAGACTGCATCCTTAGGAAGGACGTGATTGTGCGGTGGGGTTGACTGGCTCCTCGAGCTCTAGAGCAGGGAAACGTTACCCAGGCTTTTGTGAGGCTTTGAGGACCCTTGGCACCTTTGACGTTCTTTGCTTCCTTTTTGTGGCTGCAGAGACCCATGCTGTAACCTTTCAGACACCTATGGATTGCAGCCCATGTGGTCACCCGCCTCCTTTGCACCTGTTTCTTGTTTTTGTTTTTGTCTATGTTCTCTAGCCGATCAGTTATGTATAAACCGTGCTGTATTCACTACTTGTCAGGTTCTCAATCATTCCATCCCATTTCCCCCCTCATACTTAGCTGTTGTAGATGTGGGTATGGACGGGGAAGCAACATGGTGCTTGTTGCTTGCGGCTTTCCATTGTATTTTGTGGAGATAGGTTCCTATTTCTTTTTCCTGTTGGTCCTGGGGATTGAATCCAGGACCTTCACACTCAGAGGGGCACACAGCCCCTCCCTTTTCTATTTCAATTTTGAGCCAGGGTCTAAGTTGCCCTGGCTGTGCTTGAACTTGTGATTCTCCTGCTTCAGCCTCGCACAGCGCAGGGATTACAGGCATGTGCTACCATATTTAGCTCTGTTCTTAAAAGTATTGTTTTTAGGGGCCAGGGATTTAGCTCTGGCAGCGTGCCTGCTTTGTAAGCGAAAGTTCCTGAGTTCGATCCCCAGTACTTGGGGGAAAAAAAAGTATTGTTTGTATACCTCAGTCTAATGATCTAGCTGTCTGCAGTCCTAATATCTTTCCCACTTTTCAACCCTAAGCCATCTATTGCTCTCATTCCTTATGGTAGGTAAACATTTCCAGTTTGTTCATATTTTCAAATATCATGCAATAAATCAAAACCTCATATTTGTATATTATGTAACTTCATACTTCTTGTAGCAGTAACCCAGAGGCTTCTGGATCTGTGGCTTCCATCTTTTTTAGTAAAGCTAGCAGCTGTTATTAAAAACCAGGGCCTGGCTAGCGGTCTTCCTAGACCACATTCTGAGGAGGAGCTGTTCAAGTGCTGGCACTGGAAGATACTTGGAATTGCCAAATCTCATCTCGTTGATGATTTATATTTTAGAACCCTTGCTGTGATCACAGTGGCTCAAAGCCAAGGGCAGCTGATTGTCTGGATTTATGGTTGCAGTTAACAATGAAGAGGAGGACAGACCCAGAATGCACTGCTCCCATCAAGAAGCAAAAAAAAAGAGTTGCAGAACTTGCGCTGAGCCTCAGCTCCACATCGGATGATGAGCCTCCCACCCCTGTCAGTCTTCCAGCGAAAGGTATGTTCGTATGTTCGTCTGTGTGGCCTGAGGCCCTTGGCCATCTGCTTATTTGAATCCCTGGTGCTTGTCCTACAGAGTGGGGAAACTTGTTTAAATAAAACATTGCTAAGCCGGGCGTGGTGGCGCATGCCTGTAATCCCAGTACTCAGGGAGGCTGAGGCAGGAGGGTCGCTGTGAGTTCGAGACCAGCCTGGGCTACATAGTGAGTTCCAGGTCAGACTCAACTACATAGTGAGACCCTGTCTCAAAAAACCAAAAAAACAAAACAAAACAAAACAAAAAAAAAAAAAAAAACAAAAAAAAAATTGCTATTTTTCCAGAATTGTCTTCGTTCTGTTGGCCCTTCAGTAGGTGGAACTCTTGCTGTCTTAAATTAGTGAAAGAAGTGGATAGCACTGAGCTCTGTGTTTTAATTGCTGTTAATGGTATGGGGCTCTTCTATAGAGGAGGGGCTCTTGGTGCAGCTGTCTGGCCTCGTTCTCAGATTTTTGCATGCCATGTTCTCAGTTCCTTCAGAAACACCCACTAGTAGGGGAGCATCACTGTGTTTGCTGTGTGTGTAAAGCTCAAAGGATTTCACTGGTTTGGTTGAAAATAGCATTTTACTGTGCCTGTTTTTTAGGGTTATAGACACAGTTTCCGCAGGTGCTGTCTGAGAAATTGTAAGTAGAAGTAGCTGTATTTGCACTGTGACTCGCCAACTGTGTTCATTTACAGGGGCTGCTGTAACAGCTTACCGCACGTTGGTCCCTTTAACAACAGAAATTCGTTGACTCACGGTTCTGGAGACTAGAAATCAGAGTGTCAGCAGGGCCATGAGGTCACTTGGAAGGCCCTTGGGAAGACCTTCGTGACCTTCTGTGATTGCTGGCAGTCTGGGGGATTCCTTGGCTTGGGGGGCAGCCTGACCCCAATCTGCTGTCACCTTCCCTCTGTATCTGTGTCCAGATCCCCCTCTAGTAAGGACACTACTCGTTGGATTAGGGCCCACCCTCATCTACTACCATATTGGCTCATCTTAACTCAGTTACATCTGAAAAGACCCCATTTTCGGATTAGGCCGCACTCACTGGCTCTAGGCGACATGATTTTGGAAGGAGGCTGTGTTCAACCCAGCACACCAGGCAGGCTTGCATTTGCACGCTCTGTGGCATCACTGGTAAACTGGAATGAAACTTGGTAACAGATTGGTGACCGAAAGGGTGCAAAGCTTCCTCTGAGTGTGGTAGGAAATACAGTTTATTCACAAGCAGGAGGCTCATTGCTGGGCAGTTACTCATCTCTTAGTGGGAAGCTGGCCAGAGAAAGGCTTGACAGGTGGTCCCGCTAATGGAGTATTTGGTGCAGCTGTGGTCAGGGCTGGACAAGCGGTGCTCTTAAAACCTGGTGTGTGGAGATGCCCGTGCCTTTAAAGTCGTGGTGGAGCCTGCTGTGGTGGCGCACGCGTGCTGGTCCTGCAGACTGAGGTGGGGGGACGGTTTAAGCCCTCGAGTTTGGGACTACCGTGGGCCACAAAGCGAGGCCCCGTCCAAAAGGAAAGAAGAGTCATGGTGGATTCCAGGGTGGGTGGAAAAGGTGCGGTTGGGGTGCCCAGATGGGAAAACGAGAATACCCTGGGTACATTGGTTTTATGGACTGTTAAGGAAAGGGGGTTTGGCCTCCTGCCTGGGAGTTGAGTAGCATCTCCTAGGGGAGAGTTCAGGATGCGGAGAGAAGCTCACAGGGGAAAAGGGGAAGTCTCTCTGCAGAAAGGGAGGCCTGGGCTTGGAGGGATCTAGTTCTAAGTGGAGTTTGGGGACAGTTGCTCTCCAGTAACATCTCTTGGGAGTAAGGAGAAAACAACTCCCAGGAAAAGGACAGTCAGTACGATGGTACCTTAGTTCACATACTTAATTCTTTCTGTGATTCTGGTCAAATTTGTTCCAGGATTCTGGTTACAGCTGAACTGCAAGTGTAGTATGTAGCACTGTATATAAAATTTAAGTATCGTTTAAGGAAACCAGTCTGATTTCCGTTTCAAGATTTTAAAAATGTGACTGTGAACTGAGATTGACCCTGCTCTTTGTATGCATAATACACATATTCCCTTTAATTTTACTGAATAGTTTTAGCCTTGTCTGGAAGGAGCACCCATGTGACTCCGGACTGACGGTTGCTGTCGTGTGCCTAGAACAGAAATTCAGAGGGGCCGGGTCTCTTGTGTATGTCTGATGGTGGGCCAGTGGGTCTCTTTCATTTGCAGAAAATGAGGCCGAGGCAGACCCGCATGGCTACACTTCTCTGGGTTGACTTTGTTTAGGAAGAGGCTACTCCACATTGAGGCAAAACTGCTGCCTGCGCCCCCTCCTTCCCTCCCTCCCAACTGTGGGGTAAATGCTCGCTAAATATTTACTGGAGAGAGTTGATAAATGGATAGTCTTCCACGAAGTTTAGGGTGCCTTACAAACCTTTTGTTTTGCCTATGACTCCTCCAGACTGCAGATCATTTTCTTATCTTAGCCTTTGTGCGTCTGTGTTCTGTGTGGGCTTCTAGGCAGGCCCTGGACAGTGTGCCTGGTTGTTTTTGCTGTCTTGCCGGAAACTTCGTGTCCCTGAGATGTAAACGCAACTCCTTACTGAAGTCATTGCAGCAAAGCAGGGGTGTTTCTGTTTGCTCTAACCGCTTCCATCTGCACATACAAATAAATAGGTGATTTGTGATTGAAAAATACTTTTTTACCAAGGACAGTTAGAAAAACAAAAAAACTATTTCTGCCTGGACCTTGCTTTTTCTTCCTCTGCTAGACCAATGTGCTGACTCATTAGTAGATGTAGTCAATCAGTTTGTTTATTTTACATTATTCACACAGTAGCTTTGTTGTGAGCAGTGACTTGACATTTGGCCAGAGTAAAGGGGAAAAATGCTGTTTCCCTAGGCGTTGTTACATCCTTTTCTTTTGAGTATTCTCAGGGATGTGGAAGACATTTCTGAGTGTAAATAAGCTCTTGAAAATCTGCTATCCGTAATCTTTTAAAGTAATGAGAAGCAGATGGAGGTTTTGGGGCGTGGGGGTCCTTTCTCATAGGGAAATTCCCCTCTCTCATTAGCCATGTGGGCTCCTGGCCGTCTTGTATCTTTGGAAGTTGCAGACCTCTTTCGCTAACACCACAGAAGAGTATCTTCCCTCCAGCAGGTCTAATTCCTTCCTAAGTAGGATGTTTGCCTTGAAATCATCGCTTTCCTGCCAGCCCAGATTCATGACCTTAATCAAAAACTTCCTTTATCGGTATCTGTTTAAATTGCTCTAATGAGTTACCATTTGTCTGGCATGAAGGAGAAATTGCGTTTTTAAACAGGAATGAGTGTGTTCCTAAGCAGTGGTTAGGCAGGATGTGATGTTTATTAACATTCATAATTTATTCTTTCATGCTGCTCACCTTGGCCATTAGTGGTTGGAGCCGCCCTCCTTATGTGTTGTCACTGTCATTTTTAATCTTGGTGTGTTTGCCCTGCTGTTCTATCACCATGTGAACAATTTTGCCAACAACTAGGAAATCTTTGGTTTGCCTGTTAAGTGAAATCTTCTTCAGAATGACTGGATAATGATTTCTATCAGGTGGAGAAGAAGTCTTAAATGAAAACCCTAAATATTGTTTTGGCTCTGTGGTAGATTGAAGAAGGGAACCCCAGGGAAGGTAAATGGGGCTGTCACCCAGCTTTGGCAAGTTCTTAATGAAACTAATGATTTTAATAGACTGACCTTATTACTCCTGTTAATTTATGTCCTCATTACAAAATTGTCTGCTCACTGTTTGCTAAATTCTTACTGGTCTCAGGACGCAAAACCTCCTCTTTAGTTCCTGTTGCAGTGTGACAGTTGTCTCCTCCTCATCTGAAAAGAGTGGCCCCAAAGGTCCAGGGGCAAAAATAAGTAGTGGCCCTGGCATTCTGTGGTCGTTAGGACTAACCTGTGGAACTTTCTCTTAAATCCTGGCAAGCTAGCAACTGGCTTCATATGTTAGGTGAATGAAAGAGAAATAAGGGTTGCTTGCTTCCCTGGCACCCTATTACCCAGTAGGGGATATTTTAGCTCCCATTACCCTCCTGCTTCAAACCTGGAAAGGGCAGCGTGCAGTGACTAATGACTCGGGAGGAAGAAAGGAGTGGAAAGATCTCTGTGTCACATTCTAGTGTCACGTTCTAGTGATGAAATTTTGCGTTGGAGTCACCACTGATTTGCCTATGAGCCTTACACCCAAATTTCATTCTTTCGTTTTTGCCCAAAGGTGTTAAGACAAAGGAAATTAAATCTCCCTCTCTGAGACCAAAAGCAGCAGGAACTCTTGTGCACCCAGGAATGGAATTCATGCCATTCTAGTACTCACTGTCGGATCCTGGAGCAAATCTTCACAGCTCGGCAGGTTTGAGACCTGGAGCTGGACAAGTGCACACTCTGCTTTGAGGCTGCCAGCTGCCCCTGGTATTGGCGATTGAACCCCAGAGCCTTTGCCCTGAGCTCCATCCCTGGCCCTCTTTTATTTTGAGATAGGATCTCACTACATTTTTCTGGTGGGGCTTAAACTTGTGTTCCTCCTGCCTCGGCCTGCCAGAGTCCTGAGATTACAGGTGTGACCCACTGTGCCTGGCTGGATACCAGGCTTTTAACCTTTTCCTAGGTTAAAAATGTGAATGTTCATTGGGTGAAAGGAATAGTGGTGCTTTTACATTGCGGCTTCTGTTTAGCCAGGAACCTGAGTCCCTGGGTGCCCAGAAGAATTTTAAGTGCCGTGCTGGAGCTGCCCACTTTCCTGGGACCACCTCTTCCTGTACCAAGCAGTACAGGTTGAAGGCATGGGAACTATTGAGAGGAGACAGCGTGCAGAGCACATGCACCTCTGTCCTTTAACTGGAGGGAAGAGGTGAGAGGCCTGGGGGTTGCCTTGAGCCATTCGGGAGGTCTTGCCCTCAGATCTGCTTCCTGATTTCTCTGAAAAGGCACCGGTCTTCCCAAGGCTAGAAATGGTAATTCTTCATAGTTTTATTTTTTACCCTAATTTTCAAGCTGATATATTTCTTTTTCACAAATGCAGAAAAGTGCAAAACAGAAAATGAGTATCACCTCGCCTCCTGGTTTCCATGGTTACTCATTGTTAACAGCCTGGGTCTTTCCTCCTGAGAAGCAGTCTCCTGCATTCTGTGACGTGGGCTGCAGTGGTTCATGTAAGCAAGGCAGCTCCTTGTTAAGGGAATGGACAGCACCTTCTCATGCAGGGACAGGTTTCCTGCCTCTGTGCGGGGACGTTCTCAACCATAGTTCTTTCTCACTAACTCATTAGAAGGCAGGAGTTTGATTTATTCTGATTTTTTTCCCCACACATGTTCGCTTGCTTTTTTTTTTTGCCCCAAATCTTACATTCTTAAAAAAATGCATATTGAGGACTGGAGTTGTGGCCCAGTGGTAGAGTTCTTGCCTAATGTGCAGGAGGCTCTGTGTTTGATCTCAAATACTGAAATGAAAAAGCATATTTACCGTATCTATTAGATTGCTAAGCTCTGTGATAGTTGTTACTTTTGCATATTATCTCTTGTGGTATATTGCAATGACTTTTTCTAGAACAGGTCCTGAGCCAAAGCAGTTGAGCTGTTATGCAGTATCAGCATTCCGTGGTCTAACATAGCATGTTTCAGCCTACCGGGGCCAAGATGGGGTTAAATCATAGCTCAAGGTGGGCCTAGTCCTCTGTTAGGGGGGGCAGTAGCTCTTTACATTTTGCGGGGAGGGAGGATTGAGATGGTGTCTTGCTCAGGCTGGCCTTGAACTTGCCATATAGTCCAAGCTGGCCTCAAACTCACAGCAGTCCTCTTGCCTAAACTTCCCACGTGGTGATCACATGTGTGTGCCATCATGATCAGCTTGATCCTTAAACTTTTTTTTTTTTGGTACCAGGGATTGAATTCGGGACTTTGTGTTTGCAGGGTAGGTGGTGGAACCACTGAGTAAAATCCCTGGCCCCAATCCTTAAACTTTTGAGGCCTGAACATCTTGTACTATTTTTATGAGGAAAAAAAATTCTTTTTTTTTTAGACCCGGGCCCAGGCTTTTGCACTGAGCTACATCCCCAGCCCATTTATGATTATTTTATTTTGAAGCTGGGTGCAGTGGTACAGTCCTGTAATCCTAGCACTCAGGAGGCTGAGGCAGGAGGATTGCTGTGAGTTTGAGGCCAGCCTGAACTACATAGTGAGATCCTGTCTCAGAAAAGCAAAAAAAAAAAAAAAAAAATTTTTTTTTTTTTGAAACAGAATCTTGTTAAGCTGCTAAGTTGCCTAGGCTGGCCTTGAACTTATGATCTTCCTGTTTCAGGCTCCCAGAGCAGTGGAATTAGAGGCCTGGCTATGTGAGGACTTTTTTTTTTCCAATTTTTATTTTTTATTAGTATATGCTATAGTACATAATAATCACATTCCTTGTGGGGAGTTGGTACACGTACTGAACATGTCTCAGTTCTTTATCTCCTTGCGCTTTTCACTCTGTCTCCTCTTTCCATCTCTTGATCCCCTTTCCTGTTGCAAACGATCTCCTGGGCTGGTAGCTCAGTGGTGCTGCACCTGCTTGGCAAGCTCAAGGTCCTGAGTTCAATTTCCGGTACCTCCCCCCAAAGATTTTCTTCCCATTTATTTTCTTTTATTTTGCTTTTTATTTATATTTTGGGTTTTTCAGAAAAATCACTTAAGCTTGTGTGTCTGATTTAACGCTTTTTAAGCTTGTGTGATTTATTTCATTTAACATTGTAGTCTCAGGGTACATCCATTTTTCTACAAATGACTCATTTATCATTCTTTATGACAGTAGTACTCCATTATGTGGAAATACCGCATTTTCTTTATCCATTCTTCTGTTCATAGACACACAGGCTGCTTCCAGGATTTAGCAGTTTTGAATTGTGCTGCCATAAACATGGGTGTGCATGTATCACTGAAATATGATGTCTTTTTAACTCCTTTTGGGAAGATGCCTAGAAGGGGACTAGCCGGATTGAATGGAATGTCTTGTTTTAGTGTTTTGAGGAATCTCCGTACTGATTCCCAGAGTGGTTGTCCTAGTTTCCATTCCCACCAGCAGTGTAGAGGGGTTTGTTAAGAGGAAATCTTAAGGAGCTGAATACCACAGTAGGTCTTTAGAAAGGTGGCACTTGGCTGACAGATCTTTAAAGCACCTATGAAAGGCACTTGCTTTCTGTTAAGTAGAAAGCACAGGCTAGCTGTTGGTGCTGTAGAGTTGACTGTGACAGTCCCTGCTCTCTGGGAGCAACCTTGTGCAGGCAGAGATACCTGGCTGGAAGGCAGTGCGCTGAGTGCTCTGCTGATGGTGCGCCTGCTGGTCCTCCTGGGCACAGTGGGGGAGCCTCGGGCAGGCTTTCTCCTGCTGTCAGTCCCCAGCAGTTAGTGTTCTAGCAGGGAGGTGGATGGATCTGTGCACTCAGGCTGCAGGGTGGGGCTGGAGGGACCGCCTTGGTACCGGAAGAGCTGTTCCACGGCTGCCCTCTGCACCTTTCTGTCCTGCTCCTGCAGCAGCCGGTTTGAATCATTGTCTTTTCTCAGTAGCTTCGCTTCTTCCCTTAAGGAATTGCACCAGATTGCGAATTCACTTTTTCTTCATATATATTTTAAATTTTAATAGTATATTTACATGGCTTATAATTTAAAAATATGAAAAGATAGCCCTTATACTAGCTTGTGATATAAAATTACAAATCAGATTTCGGTTCTTTCACTTGTTCCAAGTAATCATTTTGGTATTCTGTCTTCATGCTCCAGCCATTGCCTGTGCACAGAACCCTTTTAATTGGTTTTGTATATCTTTCCTTTCAAAGCTCAATCATAAAGCAATTTCAAAAATAAAAAATATCTATTATTTTTCCTCTTTACTACACAGGTGTCAAGATACCAGGCTCATATGGTACATATGGCTCTGCTATTTTATGATTTTAGTTTTTTTGTGTGTTGGGATCGAACTCAGGACCTCACACTTGCCAGGCAGGTGCTGTACTGTTGAGCTACATCCCAGGGCCTATGATTTTTTTTTTTTTTTTTTTTTTTCGGGGAGTACAGGGGATCGAACTCAGGTCTTTGTGCTTATGAGGCAGGCGGCAGAACCACTGAGCTAAATCCCCGGCTAATTATTTTTTTTTGAGACAGGATTTCTCTGTGTAGTCCAGGCGAACTCCCACATAGCCCATATTGGCCTTGAACTCTTAACCACCCCCTGTCTCAGCCTCCTGAGAGCTGGGATCACAAGTGTGAGCCATCATGCTTGGCTTCTTTTATGATTTTTTGATAGCGTGTTTTGGTGCTCTGATTCAATATCCCCACCATTTCCTGTTCTGCATTCCTGTTTTGCAATTTATACTATTTTCCATGTGGATACAATGCATTGTTGCCCAAACTTTTGAGATTGCCTGTTTCTAATTTCAGGTGGATTTGTTCAGGAAAGTCCCTGAATGAAATTATCCCGGGTTGCAGTTGCTGTCAGGTAATAGGTTGATAGAGCTACACGAGAGAGAGAGAAAGAGCTGGTCACAGCGACTGTCCAGACGGAGGAATATCTCACTTTGACATTGGGACAGGTGCCGACCTGTTCTGGCAGTGCCTAGATGCCCCCAAAGCCTCATCCTGTCATAGGTGGGGCTTTTTCAGATGTGGCTGGATCTAGAGTGTGTGACTCTGGTATTGATTCATGGCGCAGTCTAGGCCCAAGGGACTGGATTAAGGATGTGAGTGCTGCCTGCCCTAACTAGTCTGGACAAGATAAGGGGTAGAAAGACACTGTTAAGGTCCCTCCCTTGTTGCTTTTGCTGTCTTTGCCCACTGTGAACTGTTTCTTCTCCCTGATTCCCCTCTGCTGTGTACCGCTCTGCCTTGGAGCCAGCTGATTAGGGACCGAATCCTCTACTGACTGTGAGCTAAATGGACCTTTTCTTCCTTAACTTTAGGTGTCGGGTATTTATTTTGTCTCAGCAACAACAAAAGTAACTGAGACACTACCCCTTCTAAAGCTGCTCAGTTATTCTCACTAGCAGCCCTTTGACAGGTCATCGATAGTGAAGGTGACAGTTTTAAGTTACTCAGTGTGACTGCTCTGTCCTGGTGCTTACTGCATCTTTTCTGCTTCACATGGTGATTGTCTTAGAGTTCTACTAACATCCTTGTTCTTTTTTTTTTTTCCTTTCCCTTTCCCATGTTCTGTCCCTCCCCAGTTCTCTTTCCACTGTGTGTGTGTTTATTATTTTGGTTTTGAGACAGAACCTTGCTTTGTAATTTAGGCTAGCCTTCCACTCACTATATAGCCCATACTGGCCTTGATCTTGGCAGAGATCCTCCTGCCTCAGCCTCCCAAGTGCTGGGATTACAAATGTATTACCACGCCCACCTTCTCTTTCCTCTTAGTCTTCTTCCACTTCTTTCCTTTGAGCCCACTTTCTCTGGGGCTGCAGTGTAGACCACTATGTTACCTCTAAGTTTGAACGACTTTGAAAGCAAAGAGAACTAGCTAAAGGATTAAACAGTCAGAAGTGGGTACTCTGCTGATTGTATCATTGAAAATGCTTGGTGTCAGTGTTTGGAAATCACTTAAGTAATAAACAGTAGTGGCAGAAATAACAACGTAGCTTCTATAAATACACTTTGTGTTTGACAGTATACAGTAGTTTCAAAACATGATTTCATTTAATCTTTAAAAAACCCTGTGCAATAGTGGGCATTAGCAGCCCACTCTTTTGTGGGAGAAATTGAAAGGACAGAGAGCTCCCATTGTGTCAGGTGCTTTCTGAAACTTTCGGTGCCCAAGATTACAGAGTCAGGTGTAGGTAGAGAGTAGATTTGACCCCAAGTTGTTTAATGAACGTACGTGGGCAGCGCCTGTACGGAACACTCATTGACTCCTAGAGGCTCTTCTGTGCCAGGACCTCACCCACACGTTTCCCTCTCTTCCTTTCCAGTTTCTGTGACAAGCCTTAGTGAGTCTGACAGTGAGAATGAAGGGAAGCCACGCAGCTCTGACTCTTTCGACGATGCATTCAAAGCAGACTCGCTTGTGGAGGGGACGTCTTCTCGCTACTCCATGTATAACAGTGTCTCCCAGAAGCTCATGGTATGTCACCGCTCAGACCCGATTTCCATGGCTGCCCCCATGGAGTGAGAGAGGGCAGTCTGTATCGTGATGAGAAAAACAAGAGATAGGGCAGTGTTTCCTCTGTTTTCCAGCTCCTGAGATTTGGCGGCTCACCCTTAGGGATCCCCATTGATGGGTCACTTTGGTGAGCCTTCTGAATCTACTGCCCTAAACATGGCTGTGTCAGCGAGTAATCTCAAAACTAGCAGCTCACCTCCTTTTCACACTTAGGTGCCTAAAATAAAGGAGTAGGCTGGCCCGATTCTCTTTCCCAGTGTTCTCCCCACTGTTGTGTCAGCAGGGGCTGGACAGGAAGCCCTGGTGTGCTCATCAGAACTCAGTGTGTGAGCAGGGGTCAGCGAAGCTCTCAGCTTCCGTCTCCCTGCCCTCAGAAATGTCCCAGTGATGGCTTTGTTTCCTGTGGGACTTGTTTAAGACTGAGAACTGCTGCTGTGTGTGGTGGCGCACGCCTGTAATCCCAGCACTCAGGAGGCTGAGGCAGGAGGATCACTGTGAGTTCGAGACCAGCCTGGGCTACATAGTGAGTTCCAGGTCAGTCTCAACTACATAGTGAGACCCTGTCTCAAAAAAAACAAAGACTGAGAATTGCCAGTGCCGAAGTCACTGGTCAGAATTCTAGTTTGGGGACCACTGGATTCAGGGGCTCAGCCTCTTTGGCCTGGGGGAAGGGCTCCATCCAGCTTGAGCTGGCACAGCCCCTTCAGAGGGCACTGTCTCTTACTTGGATTGCACTTGTTTCATGAGATCAGAGTCTGGTTTGAGACTGGGTCTTTGCTCTTTGGAGTATCTGCGTGAGCTTAGGGTCACTCTACACTCCAGGTTGAGCTTATTGAAAGTTGTGACTTTTTTCCCCCTACTGGGAATTGAACCCAGGACTTTCTCACTGAGCTATATCCCCAGCTGTTTTTTTGGGTGGTGGGGGCAGGGTTTCACCAAGTCACTGAGTTTCCTCAGATTGGGCTTGAGCTTGTTATCTTCCTGCCTCAGTCTTCCAGAGCACTGGGATTACTGGCAGAGTAGTGACATCTAACATAGTGTTTCTGCCCTAGGATCTTACAGATACCCAAGTTTAATAGGAAGCAAAGTTTTCAGTTAATCTCTTGATTAAGTGGGTCCTGCAAGCCTCATTGTCCTCACATAGTGAAGCTGTTTGACTAGCTGAGGATAAGGTAGAAGTTACTGCTTGAAGCTGTTCCCTTTTAAATTACATTCTATCAGCTGTACTCTGGATCTGCTTTTCAGTTAATCAGACAAATTAGCTGGAAGGGTGAGTTGTGCAAATGTCCAACGAGATTCATTAAGTACTTCTGCTGCTTTTAATTACAGCTCCAGTATGTGGTCCCTTCTCATTTATTCAGCTTTTGATTGTCCCAGACTTTGACCCCCAGAGTAGACAGTCACTTGGGCCCACGATTACACTGCAGTTATTTATGCTCCTGCCTTCATTAGGCAAGGACACAAACTTAGGCCTTAGCCACCATCTGTATTTCTCAGACTTAGCGCTGTGTCTGGCAGGCGACAGGCTAAAGAAGTGTCTGTTGCACTAAATTAATTTTGCTCTCTTGTCTTTTTCAGGCCAAGATGGGCTTCAAGGAAGGGGAAGGATTGGGCAAATTCAGCCAGGGTCGGAAGGACATTGTTGAAGCCTCTAATCAGAAGGGTCGAAGAGGCCTGGGCTTGACTCTGCAGGGCTTTGATCAGGAGTTGAATGTGGACTGGCGAGATGAGCCAGAGGTAAGAACTGGTGCAGGGAGCTGGAAGCCACTTGTGCTTTTGGAAGTGTGGCTTTCCGAGACCCTGTAACACACTAGGACCCTAGGGACACAATCTGAGCAGGGTGCTGAGGTGGGTGGAGCGAGTTTCTTACAAGGAGGGCAATGAGGGTGTCCGAGTGGGAAACAGAAGGCTGGGGGTAGAGTGGGATATCAGTTTTTTCCTGCTGTTTTCTCTGTCTGCCTAAGACCAGTAGTGAAAGATATGGAAGGCAGTTTGGCTGTTGAGAGCACTTGAGGTATAGGCACAGTTCTGCACTGGATGAGAAACCTCAGGAGGCGGTGAGTGCCCTTGGCTGGGAGAATCCAAGCGGCCGATGAGCATCCACTGCCTGCAGTGGGGCTGACTGGATTGGGGCCTTCTGAGGTCCTTCCGTCCCACGAGTAAAGGCGTCCCAGGCCGCAAGCAGGTGCTGCTGCTGGCACCGTCTGGCTTCTCTGCTGGGGGTTTAGGTTATTTATCTGCCCGTTTATTGTCCAAAAAGGAGAGACTATTAACTGCCCCTTTTCATACCATAGATATGTTGAGATTTTATTTTTATTCACTTATGTATATCTTAACTTTATTTCACAAAGGAATTGATGTAGGTAATAATAAAAACACCTAAGAATAATGTTGCAGTATCCCCATTACAGAGTCAGGGCTACGGAAGGTAGAATACAAATATTAAGGCTTGTGCGTTGTTGCTGTAGCTGAATTTGAGATGTGGCTTGAACACCGGAAAATGGCTGTTATTTGTCTCCCCGGTGTTCCAGTTCGGGAGAAAAGTTTGCGTGATGAAAGCCTATTGAGGCTTTAGAGTGAGATTCTGACAATTTGGAGCTTGTGGGTCTGCGGTGGTCTTGCTGGCTGCTGTGGCTGTGAGGAGATGAGACCGGCAGAGGAGCAGATGAGACTGCAGAGTACCTGAGGACTTGGAATTTGTTGCTAGATATAGGCTTTTGCCTTGGAAATACTGTACTTAGTGCTTGCCTCGTCCTTGGCCATGTGAAGACAAGGATGCAGTGTCTTTCGGTGGGGCCGAATTTGCATGAACTTCGTTGAACCTAAATCTGAAGTTTGCTCATACAGTCCCTGTTTTTAATGGCAGTAGACCAGGCTAAGGCTGTCCCGGTTACCATTTACCATAATTCAGTTTTTCTCTTAAGGATGCCTGATGAGCAAGTGTTTTGGCTCCATGATCAGTTGGTAACCACTTTTCAGGGCATATGAGTCTGGGTGTCCTGAGGTGAGGGTGAGTGTCCACTCCTGGGGTTACTGCAGGGAGAGGGCTCTCTATGCACAGCCCAGGACTGTGGAGTTCGAGGTTCGACCTTCAAAGTTGACGTTGCAGGAAGCCTTAATGTGCAGACTTCCGTTGGGAGGCCGAGTGTATATGCAGTAGATAAAGTGTATATGCATTCCTTTTTTCTATAGTTTATAATTCACACTTATGCTTAAAGGTGATGGATTTAACCAGGAGAAACCATGATTTACTACCAGATTCATGGACAAAAGGCTTCAGTCATTTTTCCTTTCAACTTTCCTCAGTTGATGGCGGTTGGCCTGCCCTCTAGACCTTGCACTGTGGTACTGTTTTATGCCTTTCAGAGCATGCGGTATTACCTTTAATTACGTCGCCGCAGTTTGCAATGGTGACTCTCTTCTCCACACTTGGGAGGCAATCTGTGATGCTGCCGTGTAGGGAGACACCTGGTTAAGCTTTGTAACGCACGTCTCTCCAGCCCAGGGTACTTCGTCCTGGATATGCAGTAGAATCCCCTAGAACTTTAAAAACATGTACCCTCTCCCCATCTTGGTGCAGCAGAATCCTCACTCTGGAGGTGGGGCCCAGGCATCAGGACCTTTCTAACATGCAGCGAGCTTCTGTGTTTGCCTATCAGGGAAAGTAATGGAAAAATCTAGAGGAAGCAGTCATTGCAATCCCACTTTCTAGCCTGTTTGGGAATTGATGGAGGAGGAATACCGTTTAAGTTTCTGGGATAGTTTGAAAGGCGTCAGGAGGTAAGACTCAAGGACTTTAAATCTTCCTGATGTCCTTCCCTTTTTATAGACTTCCATGGTATGTGACAGCAACCTGCTTACTTCTGTGTCCTCATTCTTCTCATTTTAACCCTTTGGGCTAAGGATCGTCTTAGTTATTTTCTCGTTGCTGGGATAAAATATCCAACACCAACAAGTTAAAGGAGTAAAGGTTTATTTTTTAGCTCACAGTTTGTAGACGTTTCCGACTCTAGTTGGCTGGTTCTAAGGCAGGCGGTGTGTCAGAGGGACATGGCAGAGGAGAAACAGTGCATGGCAGGGTGGAGAAAAGCAGCGAGTGCTCAAGGCAAGAGGGATAAGTGTAGATATATACTCTTTATCCAGCTTCGGGCCATGCCACAGTGACCCACCTCCTCCCACCTGGCTTCACCTAGCATCATACCCAGCTGTACACCCATCAGTGGACTGGCCCAGTATCGCACATCCACATCCAGTCACCTCCCAAAAGGCCTGCTGTGAGGCTCTGGGGGAAACTAGGTAGAAGCTGTAATGGGATCTGTCTTGTTAACTCTACCTTCCAAGTGCTTAGCACATGTTAGCTATGCATCCAATAATATTAGAACGAACGGAAGAAGAGGTGAGGATCTGGACGTTCTTAAGGACTTGGAGCTGAATTGGAGCTGCCCTTTGGGAGTCGGATTTCAGAATTCTGGTTCTCACTTTCATGGCTGATCACTGCGCTTGGCTTCAGCAGAGTGGTTGGATGCTCCTCAGGCTGAGTTTCTCCGGGTTGTTTTGGGGGAGTCCTGGTGAGTTAGAGCAAAGATCCAAAGATTTGACTTACCTGATTGCCTTTCCTTTCTTTTATTTGTAGCCCAGTGCCTGTGAGCAGGTGTCATGGTTCCCAGAATGTACTACGGAAATTCCTGACACTCAGGAAATGAGTGATTGGATGGTTGTGGGAAAGGTAGGATTTCAGGAAAATGTGTCCCAACCTCTTGGTTTGCGGCTGACTATTTTCCTCCTTAATTGCAATGTGTAAATATACCTGCAGAATAAAAAAGTGTGGCCAGGCATGATGGTGCATGCCTGGAATCCCAGCAGCCTGGGAGGCTGAGGCAGGAGGATTGCCAAGTTCAAGCCCAGCCTGGGAAACTTAGTGATTCATTGAGATCCTGTCTCAAAAAAGGGCTGGGAATGTAGCTTGGTGTGAAGGCCCTGGGTTCAGTCCCTCATTTCTAAAAAGAAAAAAAGTGAATCGGATCATTCCAATAGGAATGAAGCTGTGTTGACAGAATGTCAAGAGCTTTACAAATATTTCCATTTGTCCAGTGCTGGGGAGATGTGGCAGGCAGGGTTTCCTTCATACTCATTTAACCTGCAAGACAGATGAGACATATCCTCTGTCCCTTCCTTGTGGATGCTTTTTGGAGTGGTTTGTTATGTGTCTGTCTATATGCTGGGCACAGTTCCAGGTAGATGGAAAGATACTGTCCATGTCCTCAGAATGTAAGGGGATTGTTACAGAGGGAACCTGTTTAACCTCATTCTGGAAAATGTATGACTAAAGTAGGTGGCTGCTAAAATGAGGGTCGTCTGAGGAGCTGCTCTCAGAGTAGAGCGGCTCGGGCAGTATCCACGGCCCTGTCTGCAAGGACAAAGCCGAGAGGCTGCTTGCCATTTTCACTCCCATTGTTCCGCAAGTGTCCGGCGGAGTTTCCCAGAGGGCTGTGACGTGTGGCATCCAACTGACTTAAAGGTGAAAGCAGGGGAGAGACTCTAGCCTTATTCTGTCTAGCCAGATATGGATGACAGTTACAAAACAGAACAGAACTACTCTCAGCAAATTTGATTTTCTTTTTGAAGTAGGGCTTTTGGACACAAATATTTATATTAACATAGCATATTGCTTTTTAAGCTGAAATATCAATAATATTTTAATTCTAATAAACAGTGCCTAACTCAGACACAAAAACTTTGGAGTCCTTTAGTGGGTTGTTTGCAGCACTGAGGATAGAACCCAGGGCCTTGCGCACTTGAGGTGGGTTCTCTGCCAGTCCCTGCAGTGACTTGTGAGGTGCATACAATGTGAGAGTGCAGCGCTTGGCACCATCGGTGTGGAGCTCGTCTCAGTCTGGGGCCGCCTTGATCCTCATGAAGGGCTTCGGTTTTCTCTAGTGCCCCTTGCTGTCTTACGGAGGGAGCTTCCTGGTTGAAGGCCAGGGCCTCCCGAGCTCCAGGCGCAGGCTGCTTGTGTCTCCTCCCTGTCTGCTTGTCCCAGCCGTAGCTCCCCGAGGCTGGTGTCCACATGGTGTGCTCCTCAGCGATCCCCAGGGCCCCTTCGTCTCCGAGCCATGTGGAGTACAGCTGGAGAATTAGGGACTGAGACTTCTTGGGAAGGGTTCCAGCGCCCTCCTCCTCTGCTCACTCGGAACCCTGATCTCTCCAGTCATCCCGTCCCAAGCACTCTCAGTCATTATTTATGGTTTCTTCTTCCTTTAGAGAAAGATGGCTGTTGAAGATGAGACACAGTTCTGTGGGGTGGAGCTGCTGCACAGCATGCTGCAGTGCAAGGTGAGGCCTGCTGGGCCCTTCCACTCTTCTCTGCTGTCGGCTGTGGGGGTGCCGACGCCAGGCTGTGTCCTGACGACGCCTGTGAGGCATCCTTTCCCCTGGTGACTGCCTCGCTGTGAAGTGTTGTGTTGTCCCTTAGTCTCAGTAATCAGTTTATTGCAATCCTCAGGGAGCCTGGTGTATTTTTACCATCACATGAACCTGCATTCAAACCCTAGGTTTATCTGCAGCTGTTTTGCTGTATGACCTTGGGCCAGGTGCCTCAGCTTCTCTGAGTTTTAGTTTCCTCATCCACAAAGTGGGGAGAAAATACTTCACTGAATGCTCTGGGAGTTAAATGAAATAGTGGGTGTGTAGCACTGGTAAGTGTGGCCTTCCTGGGACACTTCTTGGCCTGACTGAGGGTCAGGAAACTTGTGCATGGGGCAGAATGAGCTAGGGAAACTGGGGAGGAAATGGATGGAGAAATGAGGCTTCATACCAGCCTTGCGGAGCTTATTTTTTGGCAGATGTGTGAATATCTAAAAGGTGACCAGGGCTCAGGGGAAGTGAGGAAACGGGAGGGGGATGAGGGCCCTCAGGTGTGTGGGAGGAGCCACAGAAAAGCCCAGCCTTGGCTCGTGACCTCTCCCAGGCATGCCCTGTCAGATGAGCCTGAGCGTCAGAGCTTGGGTTTCCAGCCAGTTGCTGCTGGTCTGGGAAGTGATTTGCTGTGAGGATTAGCGATACCAAGAGGCAGCTTCGTGTGCAGCAGCAGGCGCCTCTCTTTGGTCTTTTACCACTTTACAGGTGAGGGTGGCGAAGGTCACAGTGATTGAGCAGCTTGTCCTGGGTTGCACAGGTCATTTTAGAGCTTAGTGGAGCAGGAGCCCAGCTTCTGGAGGGCTGTGAGTTGGGCACTGCCCGCGATGAAGACCCCTGGCCTGTCCAGAGGGGCCGGGACGATGTTCACCTGGGCTTCTGATCTCTTTGAGCAGAGCGTGTTTGATGTCCTCGATGGGGAGGAGATGCGGCGAGCTCGGACCCGGGCCAATCCCTATGAGATGATCCGAGGAGTCTTCTTCCTCAACAGGTCTGCTGCCCCCCCACGCACCACGCCTCTCTGTGAACCTCAGCTCTCTGTACACCTGGAACTGAGTCGCGCTTCTCTGTCTTGCTTTGTTGCAGGGCAGCAATGAAGATGGCTAACATGGATTTTGTGTTTGATCGCATGTTCACAAATCCCCGGGACTCTGATGGGGTGAGGATTCGTGGGGTGAGGGGCTGAAGCTTCAGTGGCTCCGAGGTGGCCATTTGCTCAGTGCAAGGAGCGAGCCCTGCACTGTGGTCCAGAGGTGTTCTGCTTTCAGCTCCCCAGAGTCCCACAGTGCTGCTGTGGTCCCAGGAGTGGCCAACAGGCCAAAGATCCACTCCAGCTCTGAGACCTGTGATTTCCAAGGTGCTGCTTTCCCTTTCTGTCTCTCTGAACAAGCTTTGTTCGAGATTATAAATACGAGGTTTTGGCCTTTCTGAGGAAGTGGGGGAGCGAAATGATTTTCTTCTCTGCTACATCTCATTCCTCTGAACTCCGACACTCCATAATGACAGGGAAAGAAAGAAAAAGGAAACTTCATTGAATTTCCTTCCGGCTTTGAAAGCATTTTTATCCAGGCCTGGAAAGTTAGTTTTCTTTGACAGTGAAAGGGCCAGGAGCCAGATGCCCCCAACCTCTTTCTGCTTCACTCACCCTCATGCGATAGGCCCCCAGTTTCCCACAGGCTAAAGAAACTTCTTTCCACGTTCTTTACTGTTTCAGCTCCCCGTGCTGAACCGCTGCCTCTGTGCTGGCACAGCCGCATGCCGGCCCCTCCTTTGCTCATTTTTCCTTCCCAGGGCTCCCTCCCCATTTTCTAGGATCAGCGGGCAGCACAAAAGGGCTCTTGGAATTAGCATCTTGAGAAAATGAGGTTGATATAATGTTGATTTAATTTTCTGAGCTCCCAATGATTTCCTTTAAACCCCTGCCTGGCAGAGGAGCCTGTTAAGCTGATGGGAAGTCACAGCATCGTTTTGGGCTTTGGAACGTAAACGCCTCCAGCAGCTGGTATCTGGTTATTGTCTTCTGCTGTCATGAAAATGAAGTAGGCACCAGGACTGTACCATTCAGGTCGAGGGTGGGGATGTTAGTTACTGGGGAAGAGTGGCCGTGTTTCTGGCGCCCCAGGCAGCTTCTTGACCTGAATTGATTGTTAGTGGCCACAGAGAATCACCCTTTCAGAGGTGTTTCTCTGCACTTCACTATAAAAAGTGATTTCTCCCAAGCCCCCAGTGTTTTCTTCTCTCTTTTCATCTCTGTTTTCCCCTGAGGACTGGAGTGACAGCCAAGCTCAGCAGGCCTGGTGTTTTTTCCAAGCCAGCAGAGACTCCAGAGCAGCTCCCAGCAGACGTGGGAAGGCTGGCACCAGGCTCGCTGGGTCTCAGATCAGACTGAGAGACAGAGAACTTGAAGTGGAGGGGCACATGGACAGGGTGGGCGGTGGGGTGTTCTGGGGTTCTTTAAAGGGGTCTCTGGTGCTGCGCGCTATGGTAAAGGAGGAAGAGACTGGGGTAGAGAAAAAAAATTATATGCAAGAATTGGAAGAAACAAGGAGGAAGGGGAATTTAGATCTGTGGGGCTGTCACATTGAGGGATTTGTGTGCCTGGGGAGTTGTGAAGAAAACATTGTGAAATACTGTAACAGAAGACAAACTGAATGTCCATTTTTGGGTTTCAGTCCTGTTACTGAGGGAATTAGTATTTACAGGCATAGGAAAGAAAAAAATAGGGAAAAGAGTTTCGAGTCTGAGGCGGTTGTTCTAGTTGCATATAATACGGTTGTTGAGTACTTTACAGTTGAGAAAGATCTTTGCTCTAGGATGCCTTAATCCTACAAGAGCCTTGAGCAGTACCCATTTAGTCCCGATCCACAGCTAAGGAAGCTTGAGCGACTAGTTGAAGTTGTGTGCCTGCCAGAGACCACACAGCCAGCGCATGGTAGAGCCAAGCATTCCACTCGTCCCTTCTGTAACAGACTCTTGGCCATGGCTCGTGGGCCATAGGTCCGGAACTCAACAGCACAAAATCATACCTAGATCACCTTACAGACAGGGAGATGCCCCCATTAATTCACCTGCCTGTCCCTAGACTGCCTTTAGCCCTGAGCAGCCAGAGCCAGGCCGTCGCCCTCAGTGTGAGGGGTGTTGTTTCCCATCTTCACAGTGTGTGCAAGGCTAAGTGTGTGACCGCCACCTCATCACTGTGATGACTGGGGAGTGCTGCCTGATGTTCCTGGTAAATGCCATTAGGTCTTTATAATCCAAAAATAAGAAGAAGTAATGGCTCAGGAACAAAGAGCTGGGGTGGAGTAGTGAGGGAGCAGGGAAAGAGCTGGTATGTTCCAGCATGCCTCAGGCAGGCTCATCACAGGGTGATGAAGGTTATTTTTAGCTGAAGTCACTTTCTCAGGAAACGTTTCTGCTGTTTTGATAAAGCTAGATAGCTATCGTCAGAGGCAAGGACCCTGCAGAACATTAATAGTCTCTCGTAGCTTTCTCCTGAAGCTTTCTGCTCATGGTTTAGCAGTGGTAGAACTCTGTATGCCCAGCCTATGGAGGCTAAAGTCCCTAGTCCTTCCTGAGGAACGTTTGTCATGGCCCCGAGCCAACTGTAGTCCTGCGTGCTCACCCACTCCTATCGTCACCATGCCCCTAGCCCGTCCTCTCCGCTGTGGAGGGTATACAGCTAGTTCTGGTTCAGCATCAGTTTGGGGTTAGGAGATAGAGCTACTTGAGGGGCCCAGAGTGAAATCAAATCAAAATTCAAATGATTCTTTTGGTGGATTCATTCCTGTGGTAGGCGAGGGTGCTGATGGTTGTTCCTGCACCCAAGCGTCTCCTTTGTGTGCCCAGCTAGCACCAGGCAGAGACACGAGTGGAAGGAAGGGAGGGCGAAACAGCCGGGCAGCTCCTGAGGGCGGTGGTCACAGAGGGTCATGTTCTGGGTGTTGTGGCCCTGGCGGGAGCTCTGGGCTGTGCCTACAGAAAGGCTTGCTTAGCTCCCTTGTGTTCTCCTGTCCCTCATCGAGCCATCTTCCCTGTCCTCCGGTCCTCCACTTGCTCTTGCAGTTGCCCCTGGTGAAAGACCGGAGCGCTGAGCTTTTGTACTTTGCTGACGTGTGCTCGGGCCCTGGCGGCTTCTCCGAGTATGTGCTGTGGAGGAAGAAATGGCACGCGAAGGGGTTTGGGATGACTCTGAAGGGCCCCAATGACTTCAAGCTGGAGGACTTCTACTCGGCCTCCAGTGAGCTCTTCGAGCCGTACTATGGTAGGGACCTGGGCAGGGAGGGTGCTAGGAGCTGTGGCACAGCCTTAGGTCGTGTAGCCTGGGGCTCATGGTCCCTGTCCTCAGGATCTTGGTTCCCCCGACCAGAGGTGGCGAATTGTTCAGAGTGTTCAGTGATAGGAACGGCCTGCTGGGACGTATATGCCCTAGGTTGGCCACCACTGCTCTGGACTGTCCCTTTTGACTTCAGGCCTGTAGCCACACGTGAAACACTTGGCTAGGTAAACTCTCTTCAAAGCCCTATTAATTCTCCTTGCTGGAGCGCTCTTTCCTGTGACAGAAGATAGTGAAACTGCCCGGTCTCCAGCTTAGAGCTGGCAGGGCTATTACAGGCCAACTGCACCCATATGTAGCCCTGTGTGCCCAGTGAGTAATGTGCGGGGAGGCAGATAGCCGAGCTGCCCCACAGTGGCCCCTCTGCCCCGTCTCATTCTTGTGATCTGGTAGCAAATGCTAAGTCCTTTCTTAAGGGTGCATAGTAGAAAGTTGGGCCAGGGACTTAGCTCAGTGGTTTTGCCACCTGCCTCACAAGTACACGGTCCTGAGTTTGATCCCCGGTACCAAAAAAAAAAAAAAAAAAGAAAT